TGCCTCTACGAAAATTCCGCTCGCGTTTTACACAAGTTTTCACACAGATGTTACTCTTACCCGCTACGTTAGGGGGCGTTTAGAGTATAGGACCAAACAAATACAAAGCGCTCACACAGCGATGTCAATCGGACGTTAGGTCAAAGGATAATCACCAGAATTTACTTACCTCGGTAAAGTTTTGGGCACTCCGCAAATCCCTCCTGAGATTATGTTCAGTCAGTTGGCCCATGTTCCTTCGTCCGAACCCCACAAGAAACGCGACAGAAATTAAACCGAATCACTTCTTAGAGCGCGGAGACGCTTCGCGCAGAGTTGTCTACCTTGGCGACTCGAAGAATGTGCACTGTGCGCTCTGCGTACTGCGTACCGGCTCCTCTCCTGCCGGCTCCCCCAAACAGACTGACCGACCGACAGACCGACTGCCGGGCCGGGGAGGAGGGGGGGGCTGGTCGGGCCGGGAGCGGGGGGCGGGCCGCCCGGCTGTGGCCGTGCGCTGAGCACTGCGCGTGCCGTGCCGTGCCTTGGCAGGCTTAGCGGGAGTGGAGAACACGATGGGGGGCGGGGAGGGGGGGGGATGATACAGGCGGGCAAAGCCCCCTCGTCCTTCTTTCTCAGAACCTCATCGCACGAAACAAGGTCGGATGAGTGTAAGCACCGACCCGGGTCATCTACAGCTGGACCGGCATATCTACCGGTTGCTTCAACCCAGGAGCCGTACTCACACCACACACCAAACGCTTCTGAACATTTTTAATCGTAGCGGTATGAACAAATTTGTTCATACTGGCGTATTAAAAAATGCGTAAGCGGAACACGTATAGTCGTCCCAGCCAAACTTCTCGATTGGGCGACCGTTACGGCGCAGCCTTTTCGCGTAGCCTTAGCCGAAAAGTTTGGCTAGGACGACTATAATTGGCCTAGATTTAGAGTTCAAGCTCATCCTGTGCAACTATGTTCATCCCAGCCAAAAATTTCGACTAACGCGACACGAAAAGGCTTGCGCCGCACCGGTCACCCAATCGATAAGTTTGGCTGGGACGACTGTACACTAGGGTGTTTCAAAAAAAAAAATAGATTCGTTGGAGTAGTCGATTTTTCGGTCTGCCTTGGGTTTTGGAGTATAACGCAAAAAATCCGAACGCAGTCCTACCTAATTTACCCGGTGCGCACCGCGTTCAAAGTTTCGGGACTCGCCCGTCCGCGCCGCTGCCGTTTCGTCTTTGAGCGCCCGACGCGCCGCCGCGGGTAGCGACAGCGCAACCATACTTGCTGGGATTCTTCAGCAAGTTCCCCTGAGTCCACCGGTGCCATCCCGGCCGTCACCGGTTACGCCCAACCTCGCACCCAGCTAAAAATGTGAAAATTTCAAGATTTTGAGGGGGTGAGGGGGCAGGGTTGCCGACCCGGCCGCAGGAATACGGACCAGATACGGTGACTGAATACCGGCCCCCCCGCACCTAGAGTCCTACAGTTGCCAGAGAAGCCGGACCTGCGTCCAGGCCTCCGCCCGCACAGTTCCTCATCCTCCGCCATCTTCCTCGCGTCGGCTGCTAGCCGAGCGCGCCCACGCCGCTTCAGTTTGAAACTAAGGATGCAGCCGCCGATTTGGGTTTTACTCCTGATTTAGCTGCGTCGGTCCCAGCAAATAAATTCTTATATAGCTGGATAGCTTATTCTTTGAACTAAAATCGGCTCGCTTATACCCCCCGTTTAAAATGAACGATTTAAGAGCTAGGGCAAAAACTAACGAAGAAGCATGTAGCGCGGTGCAGCCCTGCGGCGCGCGAGGAAGATGGCGCGCCCGCCATGATTCTCGCGAGGAAAATGGCGGGTATGAGGGATTACGCGTAGCATTTCTGAGGTGCGGCTTCTCTGGCCACTGTAGGACTCTACCCGCACCGAGCCCGCTGCCCCCGCTGGCCCTACGCGCGCCCCCCACCTCCTCCGCTGGAGTCGCTACTGCGATCGGCGCGTCCTTTTTCTCTCCCTTCCTCCTCTTCTCCCTTCCATCCTTATCCTTCGTGCGCTGCGCTCCAGCAGCTCCAGCCACCAGCATGGCCTATCCGTAAGGGAGGAAGCGCGCGCCTATCCGTTCTTACAAGTCAAGACTGGCATGTGCACAACCCTGCTCTGTCGATTGCCTACTTTTCAGGCGGGTCATTAAAACTCAGTGAGCATTTTAGACAGTCCCTTGTGGTCTGTCTCTACCCGAAGGTAAAAGTTTCCCGTTTTGATAAATATTGCCGGTTATCGTTATCCAGTTTTGATAAAGATTGCCGATTGACGTTCCAGTTCCAGTTTTGATAAGCCGATTGACGTTGATAAAGATTTCTCTTGCTATAATATGAGGCTGTGGGGGAAGGCTTTCCGTCCCGGCCGTCCGTGCTTTCCGTCCCGGCCGTCCGTGCCAAGCCCGGTGGCAGTCCCCTGTCATCGCTCTGGTTGTGTTATAAACATAGCGCCCTTATCCCTTGCTTCGCGCCAGGCCATGGTGGGCCACCCGACCCCCACTTGAGTCTCGCAGCGCTGCTCCTCGCGCCCCACGCCCCAACAACCCCTGCCCGCTTAGAGCTCATTCGGCACCGCGCGCCACATGGCCCGTCCACTTGAGAAGTGGTCTCCAGTCTGATCAAATTTTAAATTTGAACCAGAACGCTCTGAAATATGAACGTGCTTGTTTTCGCGCACGCATTCAGCAAAATTTGAATGGCGATTCTAGCATAATTTGCTGATTTTCGTTGTTTTTGATTTTAACCACAGCTTTCTGAAACATGATAAAGCGCTCCTAGGTAAGGTGAAAGTATCCCGTCTTGATAAAGGTTTGCCGTTGCCGATATTGCCGATGAACGTGTCAGTTTTGATAAGCAGATTTTCAGTCTTATTTTGATGCCTTATTGAATTTAAAGATACGAGCCTTAGCGTCTGTATTTTGAATTTGCTTTTGGAGCTGGACTGTCTCGTTACCGGCCGGCAGGCCAGTTTTTTTTAAAAAGTTAAAAGGGGGAATAGAAGCAGATTTGTGGTGCCACAGCAAGGGCTCTTCGAGGCACTCGCTGTGCTTGAGGTGCAGGGTTGGTGAAGCGCCAGGGGCGCAGGAGAGAGTGGCAGGGGATGGGGAGGCAGAGAGGTGGGCCCTAACTGATCCGCGAGCAGGTGGACACCATGCGCGAGCAGGTGGAGCGGCTCGCGGCTCTGTGCATCGGGGCGGAGGCTAGTGAGGACCGTGAGGACCTCTATAAGAGCCTCAAGAACCTCAATAGTGCACTTATTAAAACCAAACCGGTGCCGAACGTGTATCGTCTTAGTCGCGAAAGGGCAGTGGGCAATGGTGGGAGGTTCACTGATAAAACCAGAGACACAAATGTAGAAAGTTGCACACCAAATGCAAGAGACTGGGCCTCGCCTCGGGGGCAAAAGCGAAACCAGGGTCTTGCCTTTCCTTGAGAGTACACTGTGAAAAATAGTAAGGTTCACAGGAAAATTTTCCTTGACGTAAGTTGTAAAATTACAATAATTTGTAATCGTAAAAATATGTGCAGTACGTATTGACTTAAAATGCATTGGCGAGTAAAAAATGTGCTATCGTAAATTTACAACTTTAATTATAATTTGAGATTCCAATTTTCTTGTAAATTTAAGCCGCGTAAATTCCGCCGCGTAATTCATTGCGTTTC